CATCAGTAGACATCGGTGGCGGTTCGTCCACTAAGAATTACCCCAAAGCTACCGTCGTCGAGTTCACCTGTTTGCGTTTGAGGAAATTAGACAGCGAGTTAGGATTAACACCATACTTTCGTGCAATGTATTGTTTGGCGGTGCCTCCCTGGTCATCTTTCAAGACGTTCAACTTTCGTCGCCAGTTCAAGAGTTCCATAGTGGTGAGGAGTTGCCATTATCAGGGGTGGAAACGGGTTTCAGTCTTATGAAGCAGCTCTGGAGCACCAAAAGGTGTGTTCTGGAGCATCGAAATTTAGTTTTGGAAAAGATTTCTCAAGTCACTCACCATCGTTAATTAGAATTCTTGTTTTCTGGTAAACACGATAAGTTTCAGCAAGCAATGCTGATCAAGCGACCAGACGTACACCATATTGATATATATTAAACTTAACAACATCAAACTTAAAAGCACAGCAACTCAAAGAAATAACATAAGCGGCTCTCCGGGCAGCTATTATACCTAGAGACGAATGAAAAAAAATTGATTTTAAAATGTTTGAATGTTCAAGATGTGATTAAAACAACGCATCCAACAGGAACAGCAAATTAACACTAGAGATAATCTAATAAAATAAAAGTAATCTTTGTACTAAAGCAATCAGGCTCTATAAAAATGAATTTAAAAAACTGATGTTCTGGTCATTGAAGTGCCACAGCCGACATGGGAACCGCAAGAATGATTTAAATAAGATTTCTAGTCAATTAAGTAAAAAAAAAAACATTTTATTTTGATAGGAATTGTATGGACACTCGATGGGTTTTGGCCGTCGCTGCCGTGTTTTGCGTAAACTACAGTTGGTATAATTCCTCGCGCATCGTGACTTCGATCCGCTCGTAAAATTGTGCAAGCTGGGGTGTTGCATGGGCACTGCTCAAGCAGATATTGAATGACGCGGTCAGTCTCTGTCGCTCGGAGGGCATGCGCGGTAGCATCCCGCCACGTGTTTAGACTTGCCGTCAAATGCTCCAGCAGAGAGGAAACACGCCGCCCATCTCGAACGACCATGAAAAGACGCGAGGGAAAGGGGGGGGGGGGGGGGTCGCTCAAGCAGCAGCTGTGAACTTTGATTCTAAGGGTTTGGTTGCGATAGCTGGAGAGTGCTCTATCAGTGTGCATCAGCGTATGGCTCATAAACCGTTCTACATTGTGAGCTCTCAACGGGAAAAAGATTGTGATGATATGTGTGGTTTAACGTCCCAAACCACCATATCAATATGAGATATGCCGTAGTGGAGGGCTCCAGAAATTTTGACCACCTGGGGTTCTTTAACGTGCACTCAAATCAGAGCAGACCAGCCTACAGCATTTTCGCCTCCATTGAAAATGCAGCCTCTGCAGCCAGGAATCGATCCCACGACCTGCGTGTCAGCAGCAGAGTACCTTAGCTACTATATCATCGTGGCGGTGTGGGAAGAGATTGTGTGATTTCTCCCTGGAGCGGCCGTATACTTAATCTCTTACAACACAAGCATTTTGTAGAGTGTCGCGATGTCGGGTCCAAAAGAGTAGCTGACAGCCTTTGTATTGTCACGAGGTCGTGATTGGTCGTGTAGTTGACGAAGGCAGTAGTCGCTGTTTTTATGGGTGAACTTTTATTTGTGCGAACCTATGCCCGGAAAACAAAACGTCACTCGAGCAGGCAATACATGCTGCAGACTTATAGCAGCGAACATAGAGCGTGGGCCGTCGATGATCTACCAGTAAGCGAAGTGCGTCAGCCTTTATACTCATGCCATCTAATATTCCAGCGTAATCGTGTTAACAGCAGTGTAGTTTCCAGAACAAGCTCATCGTTGGGCGCGTAATCTCATCCGAAGGTTGTAAGATCATCTAGATGGTTCCCAGTCATTCGGACGCGGTTTGCACAACGCAGCGTTACACGCGTGATAGTTTGGTAAGAAAAATAAAAAGGAGCGCCTGTGGCGTTCCCATTACAACATTAAAAATTGTTGCTATTGCAGTCATTACTACGCCGGTGAAACTGATTTTAATTTTTTTCAGTTCTATAATTCGACGGTCTCCATCGCAGAGTGCACGCGGTGCTCGGCGTTTGCTCAGCAATGGTGTGGCGAGTTTTTTTTTTTTTTTTTTTTTTGCAACACCAATGCGGTTTTTATGGTCTCACGAAAATAATTTGCTGTCATAACATATGTAGTCGCACATAATGAGGTGTACACACAAACGTCGCCTTAACTTGATTCGTGCATTCTGTTCACGGGGCGAAAGTTTTGTGCATGAACAGAAATACGACGTGACCGAGCTAACTTGATATGGTCGCAGTTGCGTCATTCGTGTAGCCCACGTGTGTTGCTCGGTCGATAATAAAACTTGACTAAATTGGGTGTTGCACGCGCAAATGGCTGTTCAGGCACAGTTTGGCACAGCAAGTCAGATTTGCGCAGAATGGTACCGTTGGCGCAGCACTTCCACCCCAGCGTTATTCAACATCGCCACCATAACACTCACAATTAGCTGTGAAAACATGCGTGGACTCGACCCACACTGTATTGGCGGGCTAGTTGGTATTGTTATTCTGCATTTGAACAGCCTATGTTTGAACTGGATGCGGACAGAGAGGAACACGCACACAAACACACACAGCGGTGTGTTTGAGCGTTATTTTCCGCCAGCGTTGAGTCCCGCTGTTGCAATCCAGCGTGCAGCTGAAGCACTTGGCATATTATAATGGAAGACCTAGTGTGCTTATGTGATCATTGTGGCGCTCCGGCGTCGACTAAATGAGATGGCCACTTCATAAATCTCGGCGGGCAGTGGCAATGGCAACAAGAGCGTGGTTCGACAGTTTTCTCGGTGGTCTTGGCACATGAAAAAAAAAAAAAAAATTGATTGGAAATTTAAAGTTGCACCGAGGCTCTCGACTGAAAAACTTCTAATTAACTGAGATTACTGGCTTCTAACTTTGGACTTATCCAGCATTTTTTTTTGTATAGGCGTGCATGCAAAATTGATAGGACCACGTGTTGACTTCTATTTAACCGAAAATTCCAATTAAGCAACTTTGAATTATCGGGAGTAGACTGCATAAAAAAAAAGAGAACTTCTAGCTGAGTGAGAATTAATGGTGAATTCCAGGCCATGTGTCTCATAATGATGTTAGGCTTGTGTGTTCTTGGTAGCCTTGATCGACAGGCAGTGTTTTCTGAACATGCTGTGAAAAGTTTTGCAGGCTCCCTTTGATAACACACTTGCTTGTGCTGTATATTTAATGAGTACAGTCGGCGTACAACTTCCCAGATCCTCAAGGGACTGCAAAAACGTCTGGAAAATCGGGCACATCGGAAAGCCGAATTGAAGCGAAAACGCACCTTTTAATAGGTATTTTTTCGCTGACAGAGACCGTCGAAGCAGGAGTACAGTGTTCTCATTGCAATTCAGCAAATGCATCATTTAGGCGGCTCTGAAAAGAGCCAAAAGAAAAGAAAAAAAATCCAATGTGGCCTGCGCTACCGCATTTGTAAACACTTCTGCAAAAAAAAAAAAAAAGCTTATTTTCGTTTGCATGGCGTTCCACTCTCTTGTGATGATGGCTGCCTCAATTTCAGTTGTTATACTGTCTCTGTGCACCGATGACAGTGTTGGTGCTTGCGTTGACGCCGAGGTTGTTGGCTCTGTAGGTGCAGCCTGTTCGATCTCGGCGTCGGCGCAGTCGGAATCCTCCGTAGTTTGATGGATTATTTTGTCATCGGTCAATTCCGCTCACTGCTCAGTCTTTATCAGCATTCTTTTATCGGCATCGGCGAAGCTCCCTAGTGTTATCCCGGCTGGAAGCAAAACACCGTCAATGAGCAGATCGTTGAAGGCAACGTCAGTAGGTGAAAGTTCGTCGCAATGCGCTGTCCACTCCAGGCAAGACCGCCCTCTTAGCATTCAGTATGAAGCTGGTGTGATGAAAAAATCGAGGGTCTGTTGCGTAACCTTCTTCGAGTCTGCAAGCATGCTGACGGCAGACCATAGGTCAACAGCGTAGCTTTTCTTGGTGTCAGAGCATAGGCTGCACAGCACCATGCAGCCTATGCTATGGCTGGCAACAGATTGGCCTCCACTGGATTATGGCATTTTCGATACAACGGTGCAACAGCCGCGGCATGGTGGGTTCGAGGGTCCGAAAATAAAGCAAAATGATGGCGTCCATGTTGACTTTAAGTCTGCGGTTAACAGTAAAGAAATCTAGAAAATCAGATGGCGAAAGCTATAAAGTCCAGAATTTCAGGACATTTAGTATCGTGAATCTATGGCGCACTTCACGATGCCACAGATTCGTCTGGGAAATTGGGCATGTCTAGAATTTCAGGCATTCGAGAAATCAGACGTTAACTGTACAAGTATGATCATAGACGTTTTAGAATGGCTGGAAATCATTCAAAGCTGTTCGTCATGTTGCTATAGCTCTGACAAACAAGGAATAAGAATGTAGGCCTTTTTTGTTGTTTACTAATTTCCCATGGATTGTGGTGATAAGAACTACTGATGATAGAGATAATTTTTGTTACCACGAGGGATTCACTTCACTAACATTTTACTATGCCACGCTATAGCAAGAAAAGCTATTTTGCGATACTCTAATATATAGACTTCAGTATTTTTATTAGAAAAAGTTATGATTGTTGCTATATTGACTGTTTTCTCTCTCAAGAAGTTCGTGGGTAAATAGAAGTGATGAGTTTCCTAATGTTCATAACATGTCAAGTTCTACTTGAACATATGACATCAGCCCTTTAACTTGCTTCCGTATAGATTCTGAATAGTCACTGAATGGGACTTCTGAGATGTGTATAGGCCATACAATTATTGCAAGTGATGAAAAGCATTTGCGTGTCATCTGAGCTGGTGATTTCTACCACCAGGCATGATCTGTGCGTTTCTGATGAATCGGGGTGCGAGAAAGTGGAGCTTTGTTGGTGCATCGACTCCATACTGTCATCTTTTGTCGATGCAGCTGCGCAAGGTGACTGAGCAGATCAGTCTTCTGGCAGCAGAGAGTCGCAAGAAGGACAAGAAAAAGAAGAAGAAGAAGGCCAAGAGGGACAAGGGTGCAGTGGTGGGTGATGTGGTTGAAACCAAGGAGATCAAGATGGAGGCCGAGCTGCCGGCGGCCACGGCACCTCCTACTTTGGAAGTTGCCTTGGGCACGACACCCACCACGCCTGTGGCGATCGCCAAGACACCCAAGGTCTCCAAGGGGGCCAAGGGGGCAAAGGGGGCGACGGCCATGGCGACGGCGGGTGCTGCTGCCGCAGTGACAGCAGGGCCCACCACGGGTGGCACCAAGTCTGGCGGGGGCCAGCAGAAGCGCCAGCGCTCAAACAGCAAATCGTCCAAAAAGAGCAAAAGCCTGCCGGCCTTCGACAGTGAGGACGAGGACAATGCTAAGCCGATGTCGTATGATGAGAAACGTCAGCTGAGCCTTGACATCAACAAGCTACCCGGTGAGTGCACCCCATTTTGACTACGTAGGCCCTGTTAAGATCCACCAGCTGTTCTTGCTCTGGCAAGCCCTGTTTTTTTCCATTGATCCATTTGCCCTCTGTTTAGCAGCGTGCTCTTCCTTGCATGCACTGAACCAAAGAATGTGCCATGGGCCACAAATCATGCATGATTACTGTAGTTAATGAGCCAAAGAAAGACGGGAGCATGCAGGGGTACAACAGCTGTGCTGATTTGATAGAATTCCCCATTGTTGCTCCGAGCTGCGCCAAAACAATGACAATTGCTGAAATTGCACCAAAATGCCCGACCCCCCTCAAAAATTATGTCGGGTGCGCTAATTTCAGTGATAAATCAAACCAAGCATGCAGACCTTAACCCTAAACCATAGTTTAAGGGGGGACATAGGTCTTGGGGCTCTCTCATTAATTTTATGAACCAAATGTGACAAAAGTTAGCACGTTTACTTAGTTTGTTCTCCCAATTCCTAAAATATAGTGATCTTTTCTGTAGCTTCATTAGTTAATTAAATAATCAAGATAACAATATCTATTGTTCTTATCACAATGAAAAAATAACCACCCGTCAAAAATTTATAAATGACATAGGGATTGACAGTAGAAAGCATAAGACATACAACATAGGAAGCACTACTTTGATTGGGGCATTGCTTCTTACTTTACAGTACACTAAACTTCACAGCTCTCAATGTGGTCATTGTGGTCACACAAAAGACTAGTTTAAAAAATTTGCATCAAGATAAATCAAAATCTGCTTCCTATGTTGTGTGCTTCAAACATAGCTTTATGCTGCAAAAAAAATATTCTGCTATCTGTAATAGTTTCCGATATATTGCAGTAATTTTCATGCAGTGTGTGCAAAATTGCCATTTTGAGAAAATCAAGAAAACATAGAATTCCAACATTTTTAACTGTAAAAATGTATGTACTTAGAATTACATGGCCATTGACATATAAATGAATGCTATAAAACCTAAGGAGTGCAACGCTGCAAGGTGATCGAAAATTGAACGAGTATTTCTCGAATTACAGCACACTTCATTGCATTGCATTACAGCATAGTTCAATGCATGTAACCAGATGCAAAAATTTTTATCTTAAAATAAAAATTGAAGCTGCCCAATAAAAATAGGCTTCCAGCATTGTTTTTTGTGCACATTTAGCTACATTGTGCAAAAACAATTACAGCTCTAGCTGTCCTAGGTCCACTTTTACCGAACAAGCAAAAGAAAGTGGTCAAAATCTGTGCTTCAAGAATAATGCTATTAAAAGTTTATTTCGCCGTTCCGAGGGAAGAAATATCGTGGCACACATACTTTTAGTCAGTTAATATGCACCGGGAATGTAATAGGACTGATTGTTTGCACGAGCCTGTAGTTTCTTCTAGTCCTGTAGCAAGTTGCCGCCGTGTGCTCGTCTGCTGCGAGGCCGCTTATCAGTTCGTTAACTGTAGTGACGGCGATGTGCGACAAATGTGCGTGCGTCATCCGCGATACGTCGAATGACACGGCGATGTTTTCCGGCTTGTCCAGAATGAGTTACCCGTAAATGTCGCGAACCAAAGTTGCTCCCTCGCTCATCAGTTTCGAGGCTACGCGAGTGCCGAGGTGCTAGTTTCCTTTTCACGTAAGACTTGCCGCATTTTCGAGCGGAGATCGCGACAATGTTGGGAACACGGCATTAAAAGCAGTCTACCAGTTGCCAGTAGCCTCTATTGCGGGGACGGCGAGCATTTTCCCCGCGAACGGATTGACTTCCTGTTGTTCGCCGACGCACAGCGTACTCCACTCTTGACAACCCGTCGCGCAGTTCAAGGTCCTTTCGTCAGGCGGGGGGAACCGCGGCATCGGCGCGTTTAGCGATAAGACTTTTTACTTGCCGCCCTCCAACTGATGAGGCTGCAAAACACAGCCATTCTCAGTAACGTTGTTGGCAAACAACGGGCTCGTACGTGAGTTAGGCCTACATCGGTGACTGCCGTTGACCGCGTCGAGTTCGTTATCCTTATTGTCCTGAGCCATAGCGGGGCTCCTTCTGAAGTTCACAGCGAGCGAACGGCCGCCACACCCGCTTCAGAAATTACTATAGCGCGGAACTTTACTGCCGCAGGCAGCCAGTAGCACCATGACAAAATGGCTCATGTCCGTGCGCGTCACGATGGTGAAGCAGACGCCGAAAGCGCCTCTTGGCCAAACGGATGCCTAGGTTTTGTCACGTGCCCCAAGCAGCCTATATAATCACGCGCTAGTGCTTCATGATGACGCGTTTTTGCTAAAAAACCAATGAGCAAGGCGAGCCAGCGGTGGCGGGAAATTGAAGATGAAGAACGACCCTTCCAAACGAGACCAAGATGAACACGATAGCTCGTGTGAAACGGCAGCAGTTTGGGGCGGAAAAAGCGCAATTTTGGCGTCAGTTTGCGCTCACATTCATCTCATAGGGATGTTATGAATTGATTTTGTGCCAGAAATAATGACGCGAAAAGCTAGAAACTTCTCACTCAGATAGGTGTGAAAATAGGTACAGTTTCCAAAAAATGTCACCTTCAAAAAGTCGATTTTTTTTTTGCGATTTTTGGCCTTCTAAGACCCATGCCCCCCCTTAAGTTATATACTCGTTAGTTGAGGACACTCGCGAGACGCGATTTACGAGATAAAGTATAAGTATCAATGCCTCGCGCCCATCGGTCTGCTGACCACAGCAGATACCAATCGGCTGGAAGACAAATCTTTGATAATAAATATGCGTGTGTGTGTGTGTGTGTGTGTGTGTGTGTGTGTGTGTGTGTGTGTGTGTGTGTGTGTGTGTGCGTGCGTGCGCGTGCGTGTGATGCGTTGCCCTAGCTACCTACGCTTTGCGAGAAATATGCATTTCCTAGTCGGAAAACGTGGTGCAAAAAGAAGCGTCTGTAATGTATGCCGCGTTCTCCGTGCGCGAACAAGTTCAACACGCTGCTTCATCAGCTGCCACGGTGGTTGCCTTAGTAATAAGCAACATAACACTTCTCTGGCTTGACGTTGCGCCGTCCTGGCGGCAGATATCCACTGCCGGACCTTGTGGGTGCGCACCATTGTTACTTTATTTCTTGATAAAGTGCGCCTAGAAATTGTGCCCTAAGCCTAATCCCACCGCAAAAAAACAAAAACAGAAAAGTGGTGGTCGGGGGGTGTTGCAGTTTGAAAATTGCGCCTTGTTCAAGTCCGCACAAAACGGTGCTTAAGCCTTCTTCGTCGCAGTACACGAGTTTCCCGCTGAAAAGTGGGATATGGTTTGGATGGGGCTGTTAGCGTTGGTCATGCAGGGTGTCTACCAACCTGGAAAACCTGGAAAACCTGGAAAAGTCAGGGAATTTGAACACGCCTGGAAAAGTCAGGGAAAAGTCAGGGAATTTCTGAAAAATCCGGCCAGGTCATGGAAACTGACTGTAGTCTTTCAGATTGTCACGAAAATATTCATTAGCATTAATCAAAGCTTTAAAAATCGCTCCTTAAACCACACAGAACAGCTAAGCAGAAGCATAGTTAAAAAAAAGCAGTGCATAGCTGGCGCTTCTACTTTCCGAGTACAACGTTACTCACGCGCATAAAATTGTGCATGTTTGTCTTGGCCGCGATCTCGGCTCGGCTTGAGGGTTTTCTGGTTAGGCTGGAAGTGCCATCAGCAGAGGGCAAGGTGCACAGAATATGCGAGTCGTAATTATTTTTTTACTGAAATGTGTAGTTTACAGGTGCGTAAATTGGACTGGGATACAAAACAGTAGTAGAGCAAATATGGTAATCCAGATCGGATCCAATCCAATCCGATCCACATATCAAGATGCCTGGGCTGCAGCCATATTGCCATTCTTCTTGTGATGCCGTGAGCATGCAGCGAGTTGCTATGCCTCTTGCGAAGAAGTGTTCGTTTAACCCTGATTGGGTGAACGCGGAAATATCCGAGCACGCCTCATGGATTAGAGCAGTGCCGAACGATATAGTTGCCAAGTTTTTCATTAACAACATAGTCCTCAGACATGGTGCACCCAGCGTGGTAATTACAGATCGTGGCCCAGCTTTTACTGCAGACCTAATGAAATGTCTGATGCGAATGACCCACACAGACCAGAGAAGAACTACAGCATACCATTCTCAAACAAATGGCCTAACGGAGCGCTTGAACAGAACTCTGACTGATATGCTTTCAATGTATATTGACGTCGAACATAAACCGTGGGATGAAATATTGCCCTACATCACGTTCGCATATAATACAGCCGTTCAAGAAACAACGCGAGTGACACCATTTGAACTTGTATTCGGCCGAAGAGTCACCACTCCACTGGATGCCATGTTACCACTGAATGATGAAAGCAGCAATCCACCTGGCCTAGACGACTTCCTGCAAAGAGCCGAGGAAGCACGACAGATGGCGAGATACAGAATACGCCGCCAACAACGTATCGACTCCTATCGGTACAATCAGCGTCGTACCGAAGCGCATTTTCAACCAGGTGACAAAGTATGGATATGGACCCCAGTGCGTCGCCGCGGACTTTCTGAAAAACTTTTTAGCCACTACTTCGGGCCTTTACGAAGTACTCCATCGTGTAAGCGATGTAACTTACCAAGTCAGATCCGCTATACACGGGAGCTCAAAACGCCGCAACCCTACAGAGGTTGTACATGTAGTCCGGATGAAGCCGTACTATGAGAGATCACCGGAAGACCAGTGACGCCTACGCATACCACGAATCTATTCATTGCCTGACGCATCGGGACGATGCGTGTGAGGAGGGGGATTATGCCACGACATAGTGCCTGCATTCAAACAACGCGCCCATCACCACGCGCACAGAGACATACATGGGCGCCGTCTAGTGTTGCGCAGAGACGATGATGATAGCACGAGAACCCAGCTGGCCCCTGCTGATGTGTGCCACGCGCTTGGGACTCTTCTTGAAGAAGTAGAAGAAGAAGACATCTTGCCGTTCTGCTGTAACGTGC